TGCACAGTAAACAACAAATGCGTTCGTTAGGATGAGATTTTTCGCAGGTATATTCCATTCCTTTGACCTATGATGTAGAACAATTTTAAGGTGTTTCCTCAGAGCTTCAAAATTAGTACGATGCAACTCTACAGAGCTTAATTCAAACTCGAGTCAGTGCCATTATAAATGCATGTGGATGCAAATTAAGATATAATAAAACGTAACTCTTATCTTCAGAGGCATATAGTGAAATTTTGCAAGCAATTTCTTCGTAAAAGTTTTTAGCTGTTAAATTCTCGCCCAACGGCTCTTTGAATCTTTGTGAAAAACTCCTTTGACAAAGTCTAAATGTTATCCAAAAATATTAAGCTGATAATTTAACTGGGAGTCGCCGAAGAAACAAGAAGCCCATAATTAAATGTGAGGTTTTAAAAAATTTTTGGGGCATTTTAATTATACTTAAATACATAGCTATAAATAGCAAAATATTATTTAACTGCATTTTTATTACTTTGCATAGAACTTCTTTAAGTTCTGGTTGAAAAGACCCGCCCTCTGAATACAATACTTATGTTTGAAGTCAATCTATGCTATAATAAAACTGAAGAATTCGAGTCTGTACATTGAAAATTTCTTTAAAAGAATTACCGAAGGTGATGCAGGGAATGTAATACACATTTGAACCATTTTTAGAGTGTTTGTCTGCTGTTTATATGTTTGCTACTCTCTAATCTCCGGAACCACTGAATGGATTATCTGGGGCTTTAACTGGCGACTAGACTTTCTACTTTGGAATGAGTAGACAACTGAGAACTAAAGTCCTCTCTCGTCATACAAAAATCACGCTCTATAATAGCGCCGTCAGAATGGGTATTTGTATGTCACTACCGGAAAAGCATGCGAAGTAACCCAACGTCTCCACCTTCTACTGATTTTGTTAAAAAATCTGTGTTAAGACAGAGATGTCAGATGGAGACTTCAAACCATATCCGTCTTGCCGAATTTCTTACCATCGCAGTCTTAACATCAGCTGTCATTTCATAGTTTGACAACTCAGTTTTCATTTTACCGCGAATTTTTTAATTTAAAACAAATCTTTAGCCCTCAAGTTTGAGTTTTTCCAAGTTTTCAAGGCTTTTCCAAGTTTAAGGGAAACCCCTAAATAGTTTTGAGATTATATCCTCGGTAAAAAACTCGGTAAATAAACAAATATGCTCTTAAATATGCTTCATCAATAAAGTTTTATTAAAATGTGCAATATTTTATTTATTTTTATTCAATAACTAGCAGAGCACCCGACGGGGTGCAGCACAGTCACCTGCAATATTTGACTTTGCGATTTATTTATAACATGCCAAAGCAAAGCCTTAAATAATAGTGAAGCCTTTTAAATTCAAATGGCAAGCCTGAAGAATAAGTGGGACTCTTGACAGAAACACATCGTCACCTTTGCCACATCCAGTAATCATTCTTGCTTCAATTATATTAGTCATAATTTTCTTTACTGCCAATCTAGCTCCCTTATTAAGGTTGAGTGTATCAAGGTAACCTTAGAAGAATAAAAGGCGCTCCAATTTTTAAAGTGAGATTATGTGTCACGTGACTTATGGTTCCAAAGTTATGGTTCTCTGAACATTTGCCGTCTATCAAGCAAACTCTCATCCCTCTTTAGTTTATCAAAGGGCTTTCCTTCTAGCTGTGTATTCGCAATGGTTCCACGTTTATGATCCTATGGGAGGTCCCACGCTCCCTGGTAAACTCTCACCCCCCTTTAAGTTTACTATAAATACCTACTTTGCTAATTTCTCCACTCCAAATATCCATCTCATGTAACTTATGATCATGGTCGTCGAGAGAAAACTCGGGCTCCGGACTGAAATATCACGCGCCCCTGCACATAAATTGTATTAATTTAAAAACATGTGATCAATTGAGAGTTTTCTATGTAGGGTCTCTTTAACGTATAGAGTCAGAAACAAATCGGAATGTATTTGTGATAAAAGCCTATAACGACGGAATAATTTCTGGCGGAAATATCGAAAAATTTTTTTAATTAATTAGCACTTTTTATACCCGAGCGCTCTCGTGCAAAAGGGTATTATAACTTTGTTAACATAACGTTTGTTTGTAACAGGCTAAACGAATCGAGATAGATATAGACAAATGTATACATAAATGATCAGAATGAAAAAAGAAATTGATTAAACGGAGACTGTCTGTCCGACCGTCCGTCCGTCTGTGCACACGATAATTCGAGTGATTTGGAGAAATACGAAATCTTCGATAAATCAGTAAATACTGAAGATAATTTATACAAAATTGATGTTTGCAATAATTCTTTAGCACAAAACAAGTTTATAATAAAATTTTGGAAAATATTTGTACAAACTCGGAATAATTATTGGGCTTGCCACATAAAAGCAAAATGCTGAAAATTAAATTTCAAAAATGCTTGAAATACTAATTTACACAAAATTGATACTAACAACATTCCCTTAAAAAGAAGTAATATTATTTTGGAATTTTGGAAAATGGGCGCGATACCGCCCACATATAATTATAAGAGTTAGTCGAAGATGTTTGAAATAGGGATAAAACCACCCCTGCTTAACATGTAGTGGTAGTTTTCGGAAGGGGAAAAAAACTATATTTAATAATTGCGCTGGGTATGTTCGGCCCCGCCCGAACTTATACTTTTTTACTTGTTATATATGAGCTTTTCTCACTTTCTGAGAAGCAAAGTATTTTATGACTACATCAAAATCCAACTGCTTTGCCAGAGCTGCTTCGATACAAAGAGAAGGTAGCGTATCGAAATGCGCTCTTGTTTAGAACACGAGCGATGAAATGTTCTTTACTCTGGCAATCACACTGAAGGAACAATCAGCGCTAGCTACAGTAACAGGTATTGGCAAAATATTCGCAAAGCGACGCGAATGTTCGGAAAAATGGTTATGGAAAGGACGCGCATTGTTTTCATTCGAAATTGAATTGTAAGAAAGCCCGGCCGGGGGGATACTCAAAGTATCGCTAGGGAATACTCGATTCTACTTATACTCGAAAGTACACGCTTCGTCCAAGTACATGAAGAGCTGAAAAATGCCAATATCCTATATTGCAATGGGGTTACTCGAAAGTGCTGAAACAGGATACAATAGGTAATGAGAAAGCTCATCGTTTACTTGTGTATGATTCTGTTTCCCAGCGTTTCAAAACGAATTCTAGAGATGCTTCCGCAAATCATGCTCTGCTTCTACATTCGCTAATTCGATACGACTTTTGTTCTCCACTTACGTGATGTCCTTTAGTTTTAACCCTAGCAAGGTCGAGTGGTTCACATCTTGAACATTTTTTTCAATTTTGTATTCAATACACATGAAGTTCTTGTACACGCGTATCAAAGTACAAAAAGTACTCGGCATTTGGTAGATGTACTCGATGAGGGAAAAATAACATTCCTCACCCTACTCGACCACTCAAAAGCGTTCGATTCAGTTAACCACAGTATCCTAACCACAAAACTTCCAAATTGTTTGGTCTTTCTACTACTTCAGGGGTGGGCAAGGCCGAGGCCGAAAAGAGCCACATGTAACTTCTACATGCTACAAAGAGCCACAAAAAAAACAAAAATTTTATTTTTAAATAAAACTTTGTTACGTAAGATTGATATTAAAGAAAATTCAAAATATGCCTTTGGCATTCTTATCCTGACACAGTTCACTGACTAAACGAATAATTACTTACTTCTTACAAGTTAAATTAGCCGCATTTTACTATTTTAACTTCCAAACCATCAAATTCAATTTAGGAACTTGCGTAAATTCCAACCAGCTGTTATTGATCAGCTGTTTTCTTGTTGGCAAATTTCTCTTAGCAAAAATTTTTACAGCAGAAACTAGCTCAAAATGAAATGTCATTTTGCTCTCTCGATTTCCCCTACTTTGTAAGTTTTTTGTGTACGCGAACACAAATAGCTGATAGTTTCTATAACTTTCAATAATTATCAGGTACGCGAATGCAACTAATTGTGAACGGTGTTTTGACTTTACGATTTTCATTGTAGAGTAGAAAGACTCACAGTTATACGTTGTATGAAAAATTGAAAATACACGGCACGCAGCTATTTTCAACAGCAGATATTTTAAATCTGGTACTTGTTGCCGGTTTTATGAAGTATGCAAACGTATATTTAAATAATTTCAAATCGGCGAGTCTTTTTTCAAAATCTGCTTTAAAATATTGTGCAATATTCTTTTCTAGGCGTGGAAAATGATGAAATATTCTTTTTTTGAAATCATGAATAAAAAGACGTAGTTTAGTTTCAAAACTTAAAATAATTTGCGACAAATCAAAAACATTTTTATTCTCACCTTGTAGAGGCAAATTCAAGTTTTGCGAATGTTGCATCATATCAGTAAAGTCCGTTAAGTCAGAAAGCCAATTTTCAATCCCCAATTGCGGGTAATGTTCCGATCTCAATTTGCAGATATGTGAATAAAAAGAATAAAATAAAAAAAACCAACCAAAAT